AATTTTAGGCAGTTGTGACCTTCTGTGTGCACTGCACTCTGTTGTATGAGGAAGTTTCTCTGATGAGAGTTGAGGAATATATTAGTATTCTCTCTACCCCCTGTACTACTATGTTCAATGAGCCATAGGTGTAGAGGTTCCACTGTAGATGTGTCACTTAGCGCTGGGCATCTCTCAGACATATATTCTTTGTATGTGACCCATTGTGGAAACCTGTGATAGCCTCCATCTGTTGCAAAAGAAACTTTGTTGATGAGTCATATATGGTATATGGTATACTTGTCTGTAAATATAAGCATCCATATTTAGCATACAGTAAGAAATTTCATCTGTCATAGGGATATGACAGAGATAGGGTTTTCTCCAGGATCTGTAGCCTCTCCAACCACATGCATTTGGTTATATTTACAATACCACCCATGAGTTCACCCATTGAGAGAGCTTTAAATCCAAATAGATAGCTGTTGATTACCCCCTAGATAAAAGTGCCACTATTGTACCACTAGAGATAGTTTGCTGTGCTGGTCATTGTGGTTACATGTTCTTAGGTACACCAAGTGCATGCATTGCCTGCAGAGGCCAGAAGAGGGCACAAAATTCTCTGGACTGAAGTTAGAGATGGTTGTTAGCTGCCATGTGGGTGCTAGGAACCCAGGTCCTCTTAACCTCTGAGCTATCTCTCTAGTCCCCATGAGCTATAATTCTTTGTGTGTTTGTGTTGCTGTAACATTTTCCCATACTTCATTCCAAGTCCTCCTCAAATCTGTCTTTTTTATAAAACATGCAATTTTATAAATTATTCAATTAATAAGATTTAATAGAATTAAATTACAATGATTACTAAATTCATGTAACATGGATTTTTGGAATTTGCTTTATTTTTTGAGATTAAACTAGGTTACTTAGTCATTTAAATCTAACACAATTACTAATGTGTTCAGACACAAATCTGCAATTATTCTGTGCAGTTCCTATTTGTCTGGCCCCATCTGGTCTTTTTGTCTTCTTAGTGTCCTTTTCTGCTGTGTTATGAATCAATTGGCCATTTTAATCATTATGTTTCTTTTTATTAATTTGGAGGTCATGCATTCCTTTCATTCTTTTAGTGGTTGTCCTAAAATCTTCCACTTCTAGTTCATTACTTCAACTAGATTCTACTTTTAGAGCAGTTTTAGATTCATAGCAAAATTACACAGGAAGTACAGGGAGTTCTCTTATATGCCCAGCCCCACTTCCGACATCTGGCAGAATGGTGGTTTGTTTAAAACAATGAACTTATATTGATCTGTTGCCACACAAAGCCCACAGTTCACATGAAGGTTTGCTCTTGATTTCTTTTCTTTTTCCACATTTTGCATGTCTAAACTCTTCCTCTTGCTCTTCCTTCACCTCTTCTTCCTCCTGATTTTATTTTGTCATTGCTGGGGACTGAACACAGGACTTTGTGCATGCTAGCCAGGCACTCTCCTAGTAAACTATATCCCCAGTCTTTGATATTTTAAAAACTTCCTTCTAGGATTATTTTCCCCTCTGACTTTCTAGATTCTTACTCTCCTATGAACATCTACAAAAGAAAGTTTCCTGATTTTTAGTACTCTCATGCATTTAGCAAAGTTTTTGTTTGACAACAATTTTGAACTGTTTAGAGTAGAAATGTTGATCCAGTTTTTCAAGAAGTAGAAGAGGTTACACATACTGTTCAGTTATATCCATCTTATACTGCACTGTCACTGTCTGTTACTATATTTCTTTTTACTCTAAACCTCAAACTTACTTTTGGACCATGTTCACTCAGATTTGGAGGGTTTATGAAGCACTGACAGTGTTCCATTTAGTTCCTCTTGATAGCATGGCCTCTGAAAAGACTGTAATTCTGACGTTAGATCAAACACATTTTTCTATTCTGAAGTTGTATAAGTTTTATTCTACAGGAATGCTACAGAGTTTTACTTTCCTTTGTCTTTACTAAAAGCAAATTTATAGAGGTTGAAGAGAACTAAATATTAGAACTGCCACCATCGACTAACCTAGAATTCTGCTTTCTGGGGTGTCTGCCTGTCTGCATGCATATGTTTTCACATTCATGAGCTTTTCCTGGATTTATAGAATAGTTAGAAATCTTGTTACGGATTGCTAATGTGCATGACTGCTTTGCTGTTCAGAAGTGTGAACCTCCTGGTCTATACCTCTTTTATTTTCATTGCAGGGCTTTATTTGCTTTCTGTTTCATTCCAAGGATGATTTTTAATTACTTTATTGAACTTTAGTGTATCTCATATACAACATGTCAATCATCTTTGCACCCTCTTCCCCATCGGCACCCTCCCATAGACTCCCAGTGGATTTCGTGTATTCTGTCATTTATGTTAAGATCTATCAAGTCAAGTTAGCATCCCCTGACGTCCTTCAGTGCACATTCATCCACTGGGGTCTAGTCAGCCTATCACTCCCATAAAGAAGATCAGCTCTTCCTCACCCAGAAGTAATCAGCTGCCCAATATCTTTCAACTAAGATTGGGACATGCTGCCCATTTCCACAGTTCAACGCTAGGTTTTTGTCTGCTTGTGTTTGCATGGATCTTGTGCATGTTGTCACCATTAATGCAAGTTCACATGTGCAAGGTCCAAGGAGCCTGTAAGACTCTGTATCCTTGAGATTATGCACCTCCTTCTGTGGCTCATACAATCTTTCTGCCCCCACTTCCTTAAGGATCCCTCAGCCCTGGTTGGGTGAAGCTTAATACAGGAGTCCTGTCCAAATAACCAGACTCTCCAGACTCTTATTCTCTGCGCTTTAGCCATTTGTGGTGCTTTCTGTTCATTGTCCTCTGTTGTGGGAGGGAGCTTCATTGACACAGTTGAGAGATGCGATTAGTACTCTCTCTACCCCTTGTTCCACTATGTTCTGTGAGTCTTAGGTGTAGAGGTTCCATTTTAGATGTGTTGCTTCTGGTTGGGCATTTCACAGACACTTGACTTCTGTGTGTGACCAGTTGTGGAGGTTTATAAAAATCTCTGTCTGTTGCAAAGGAAGATTTGTGACTGGCATATTTGTCTGTAAATATAAGGATCCATATTAACACATACTAAGAAATTACCTTTGTCTGGGGATGCGACAGTCTTGGATTTTTCTCTAAGATCTATGACCTCTTAAGCCATGTTTATTTGGCCATGTTTATAGCACCACAGGAGTTTCCTCCCATTGAGTGGGCTTTTAGTTCTTTATGTAGCTTTTGATTAACCCCAAGAGTGCCACTACTTCCCCAATATAGTTTGTTGTGCCAGTCCTCATTTTAGTTATTAGGTCTTAAAGCTGGGGTTGGCCCATCAATGTCAATTGATGTCCTCTAAAGCTGTGAGAGTTGGCCATCAGGGAGGTGACTTCCAGGTCAGTTCCAGCTTCATTGCTCCAAATCCTGTGTATGAAGTGTGTCTGGTCTTCAGCAATAGGGTCTTACTTTCAAGCTCTTGGAGGTAATCAAGAGCTGTGGCAATCGCCTGCGTAATTTTGGGAGTCTCTTGGACTACCCTGGCCAACAACTTGAAGGGCAGTTTCTCCTGTCAGGCACTGTTTCTTGTTATAGAACTTTTAGCTCTACACATGGACTCATGTAGAGATATCGTTGTGTAAGTTTTATATATGGTTTTGAACTTGTATGTGTCTCCCTTTTACACCAGCTTGTCATTATTTATCTCTCTTCTTTCTCTCCCTATATGGAGGAATTTTTAAATGTTTTGTTCCTGCCCGTGCTCTTCCAGGACTTTTCCCCACCACTGCATCCATCTTCCCTTCAAAAAATTCTCAGTGTCAGAACACCTTACCCATCTCCCATGAAACCTCTCCTGCGTTTCTCCTTTACTCAAGCTCTGGTACTACAATCATGATCAAAACCATTTTCATTTTACCTGCTCTATTAGTTATTTTTCTTGTTGCTGTGACAAAGTAACTGACAAAAGCAATTTAAGAAAGGAAGGACTTATTTTGGCTTACAGTTTGGGAGGATGCAGTTTATCAGATGGGGAAGGCATGATTGTGAGAGAATGAGGTGGCTGATCACACCGTGCCTGTTGTCAGGAAGCAGAGGGAGATGAGTACTCATGTCCATCAGACTTTCCTTCTCCTTTGCACATTTTATTCAGCCTGAGTCCCCAGGTCATGCTTAAGGTGGATCTTTCTTCCTCTGTGAAAATGCTCTCACAGACCTGCCCGCAGCAGCACCTTTGTAGGGGATTCTAAAATCCAGCCAAGTTGACAATGGAAATTAGCCATGACATTAGTTGTGAGAGATTTTCTAGGGGAGACACACTCATTTGGCAAAAGGTAAATGGAATTTATGCCAAATATAGAAATCAGGCCGAGTTCATGATGGTGTTCCATTATAATCCCATTACGCAGGAGGTTGAGGCAGGAGAATCACAGCACATTTGAACCAACCTGGGCTACATAGTGAGTTCAAGGCCAGACTGAACGACATGGCTGGATCCTTTCTGGAGGGAAAAATGAAAAATATGGAAGGAAGGAAGGAAGGAAGGGAGGGAGAAGAGTGAGGGATGAAAGGAGGGATGAAGAGAGGAAAGGAGGGAAGCAGGAGGAAGGGAGGGAAGGAGGGAGGGAAGGAGGAAAGGAGGGAGGAAGGAAGGAGGAAGGGAGGAAGAAGGGAGGGAGGGAGGGAAGGGAGTGAGGGATGAAGGGAGGGATGAAGAAAGGAAAGGAGGGAAGCAGGAGGAAGGGAGGGAAGGAGGGAGGGAAGGAGGAAAGGAGGGAGGAAGGAAGGAGGAAGGGAGGAAGAAGGGAGGGAAGTTCATGATCGTGTAAATTGTTTCTGGGACTGTGATGAGGTGGCAGCGAGAGGATATGGGGATATGGTGGGGAAGCTGCTTGGCCTTGTTACTGTCAAGAAGGGAGGAAGAAGGGAGGGAGGGAGGGAGGGAGGGAGGAAGACAGATCAAAGTGATGTACACTCCTCAGGCTCCAACAGACTCTGTGCTCTCTGTTGCAGATTTCTCCATTGTGGTAGGTGTGCTCTTCCCCCTGGCTGTCATATTTGTTGTGGTTGCTATAGTAATCTGTCATCAAAGTGCCAGAAGGAAGCAGATGAAAGCTCAGAAGTAAGTCTTCATCTTACTTTGAGGACTCTTTATCCTCTACTTTATATGACATTGAAGGCTATGACAGTCTTTCAGATTTCATTTTATTTTACTTCAAATATTCAGAAATATATACCAGTGGTATATTCTTTGTGGACCAGATGCATGGGCTGGGTATTCCTTTGACTGGGAAACCCTTCACAGCAAGACATATGTCTTTTTCTTATGGGAATCATTGTATTTGAAAATTATGACAGTTATTATAAGAATATAAAATATAGCATTTATCAATCACCAGTCATAATAGACCTTGGGCAAAGGCTTTTTATACTCATCATTTAATTTAATCTTCAAAATGATTTCACAAAGTAGCTACATTATTTACATTTTATAGATGAAATATGATTTCTATGAATCTCTGGGATAATCCTGTAAGGTCAGGACTTCACTTTTTTTTTTTTTTTTGGTTTTTTTGAGACAGGGTCTCCCCATAGCCCCAGCTGTCCTGGAACTCACTATGTAGACCAGGCTGGCCTTGAACTCAGAGATTCGCCTCCCTCTGCCTCTCGAGTGCTGGGATTAAAGGCGTGCGCCACCACATCTGGCAAGACTTCACTTTTAATGAATGTGGGGAAAAACTAGAAAGGTTAACAAATATCTTTACATCCTTGCAAAGTAAGTGAAGGAGGCTTTGATTTGCACATAGATCTGTTTCTTTTACAGTCTTGACACAACAGTATCTTTTAGTATTTTTTAAGACTGACTTATTCATAATAACTCTTCAATAAACATTTGATAGTTAAAAATAATTGAATGGTGCCAGGTGTGATGGGGGCATGCCTTTAATCCCAGCACTTGGGAGGCAAAGGCAGGCGGATCTCTGTGAGTTCGAGGCCAGCCCAGTCTACAGAGTGAGTTCCAGGACAGCTGGAGCTGCAGGGAGACCCTATCTCAAAAGACCAATAAATAAATAAATGCATAAACACATAAATACATAAAATAATTAAATGGTATAACTTAGATAAACTTCCATGTAATGCCATCATTAGGAATCAGGGGTCTGCAGAGAATCAGAGAGAAAATGGCTGGTAGTGACTGGGAATCACAGGGCAGCTATGGTGGCTAACAGAGAACCAAAAGCTGAGGAATGTTCTGGGAGCAGAAGAAACTTGGGTCACTATCAGTAGGAGAGCCGGACTCAGAGGGTGAAGGAAGATGTCAGTTCTCTGTTGAATCTTCCTAGAACACTGAAGGTGCTGCTCAATTCACACGATGTATTTTCACTGCAGGCCGCCACGTGCTTCCAGTGTCAAGGCACACAAGCCGAAGACTAAACCCCAGAATGTGAAGGCAGTTCAACCCCAAGAGGTGAACTCTTCTAGCTTAGACTGTTTTTGTGATGGCCTGAGTTTATGAATTCTTTCCCTCTTGCATCCTGACTATATATCCATCATTTCTATGCAACAGTGTTTCGAAGTCATACAACAGTGTTTCGAAGCCCCTCCCCTGCCCTTATGCCTAAACTAATTCCTTTCTTGGCATATTTCCCCAGAAATAAAATGATATGTTTACTTTTATGATCACCTGTGTAACAGGCATACCACTTAATACTGTTACCAAGTCCTACAAGTTCAGAGTTGATACAAGCTTGTGGTTACTGTGTGTCTCGTGGACATTTCTCCTGGTAGCTCTAGGGAAACTCTCTAAATGCACCAGCCAGGTGTGCATTCCTGCCTTACCTCGTGGTGTTAGCCTCACTGTAATCTGGAAGCTTGAAAGAACCATTTGGAAGCTGTGCTTGGGGTCCTGATAGTTTCATTATAAATATCATTCCTTTTATTTAGATGAGTCAGATGAACAAGCTCCGTGTGTCTGATCTGCCCACTGAAGACAGTGAGCCTCCACCTTACATTGTGAGTTAATAACTTCTCTTTCACCCAGTACAATCTCAAAGAAATGCTACTTAAAAGTATACCACACAGTGCCCAACTATTCATTCAGAAGAATGCTGACATTTGTGTGCATATTTATATAAAATATAATTCTTTGGTAAAACTTTTTAAAATGTTAAGTACAGGGATATGAGTGTCTCTCCATTATACCCCTAAATTTATCCCCCAAACCAGGGCCTTAGTATTGGGACTTTGATGACTTCTCACAAGAATACTGATCTGCTTTGCAGAGGCCATTCTTAGTCAGTCCAGGCGTCCATACAGAAACAGCACAGAGTGGGTAGCTTAAGCCATATTCGTTTCTGAGGCTGGGGAATCTAAGATTGAGGTGCTGGAAAACCCTATTGTCCGATGATGGTCACTTCCCAACTTGTAGATTGTGTCAGAAAAAGAAAGAGACAGGGAGAGGAAGAGGGAGGGAGGAAAGAAGACAGTGAGGGAGGAGGGATATCCTCTGTTTATATCTGTTCTTGTAAGGGCATGAATCCTAGCTTAAGAACGCCAGTATCAAGACGCAAATACCTCCAAAATGCCCCAAACCTAAACCATCACGTTAGGGATTAGGAATTCAATATATGATTTGTTTGGAGGCAGGAAATTAAGACCAAAGTAGTAGCCATTATCATCACAAAGTGTCAGTGCCATTCTTCTGTCTAGATTCTGTGAACCTAAATGAAAGCATCGAAGTCACAGGTTTAGGTTATTCTCATGAGGTAAGAAATTCTCTACTCCTGAAAACATGTTAACCCTTTACATTAAGCATACATGTTTTCAAGAATCTGCTCCAAACTGGTTTTCATTTCTTCTTCTTTTTTTTAATCTTCTCACTAGCTAATCACAAAGCCCAATTTTCCACCACCACCAATTCCTATTTCCTCGTAAGTATCAGAGTAAGTATGGTGAGTTTTCTGAATGACATGCCCAGTGAGAATACGATCCCTAGATGTGTGAACTCGTGATCAGTGCTCCCGAGCTGAACCTAACATAGAGTAGCACGTTTGTTCTGGGGAAACTGAAAATGCAAAACCATCTTTTTATAGTGAATTCACATGGTGGCCAAATTTTTATTATGCAAAAATAATTCTTTTAGTTTATAATTGTTGAGAGACAATAAAGTAAATGTCTTCCTAGGGCTTATTTCTAGATGTTTATTCTCTAAATGATATAAAATTAGATAATTATAAAGTTATTATTATGGTTTTTCATAGGAGTTACAGCATGAAAAAGAGACCACATATAGGCAAGCTTGGAATAAAAGGCAGATGTTTATAAAGTAAGAAGCAGAATTCATCTATTTAGGAAATAGCTTCTGAGAACATTTTCTCATGCTTGGCACTCTGTTGTAGGCAAAAGAAAAAGAACTAAAGTTTAAGTTCCTTTTTCTTTCAAGAAATGTTGCAGTTTTAGTGAGCAACGAGTCATGTATGCCTGAAGCACTCGGCTCCTTAAGCATTATTCAAGCCACAGGAATATTTTTCAAGCAACAGGAGTGGAGTAGGCAGAGAAGAAGACCGTTGCCTGTCTAGCTGGGATGTGCACTGGCCCCTAGAAATCGTGTAGCACTTAAATGAATGATGAGGGGATGAGGTGGACGATAATTTCATGAAGGAAGCAAACTTGGTTAAGAGAGGAAAAGCGTACTATTTCTAATAATGATCATTGATTTTCTGTTTTACCTTAATGACACAAAACATTTCCTTTTCAAAAATAAGCCCAACTGTGCACCCAAATAAGAGATATATAATCAAATTATTCTAGTCCTGTAGCACCACTAGTGCCAAAGAGAAAAGCCCCAGCAGGGTCTTCTAAGTAGATGTTCTTTGCAAATAGTCTCTATTGGTTGTGGGGTGGGCTAGCATAAGTGCCTTGCTCAATTAAAACGGAGACAGAAAGGTCTCAGCTACAAAGGTGGGATGATTCCAAGTCTCTCATTTTCTTTGGATAGTGCCAAGGACAGTGGGAATGTTGCAACATCACACAGACAGCTTCCCACACCTCTAACTCCTCCTTCACACCATCCTCTTATTAGACTAATTGCCATAGATTACTTTCCCATGTCCACAGTCTTCCTGAGTCTGTCTTATTCTGTTATTTGCCCAGGTGAGTATTTTGATCTCAGAGTGAGAGTTTTCTCATCATCCATCCCCACCTGCTGTTTCTAATTCTTTGTTGTTGATATATCATATAATCTATAAAGTAGAAAGTATGAAACCAGGGAATTCTTTGTCTTACTACTCCATATTACATGTACCTACTTATCTAAATGTTTAATAATATTTGATCATTTAAGAGTATTTTCTTTCCTTAAGGGACTTAAATGAAAAAGTCTGAAGCAACAGATAAGCAAAGATTGATGAGCAGATGATCAAAATGGAAGACTGGATGTTTGGGATGGAAGAGAAACACATTTACTTTCTTACCGCTCCTGCTCTTGACTCTCAGAGGTTAACATTTCCTAGTTTGTGTTTTGAAGACATTGAGTAAAAAACTTCAAGGAAGATATATTTTTGAGAATCTTTCTATTAATTTAATTTGTTTCTTCTCTGTACTCATAGGAGGGAAGATGGTTAAAAAATAAATGAACTGTAAAACTCTGATTGCTTGATTTTTTCCAAGATCCCTCTCCTTTTACTGTGATGTTAGCTAACTGCTCATATGTTTTGAGTACCCTGATTTGTTCATTTGAAGGGCATTAATGCACCCTCTGATGAAACAATGTAAAAAATCACAAGAAAGTGGGAGAAGAGGTGCACTCATTTTAAAATAAGTCTTGATTGTTTTGATCTTTAACTTGTCAAAATAAAATCCTTAGGCAGAAAATCCCATAAGCACTCTTTGTTACATAGAATTTATCTCTTTTCTACATTATCTCCTAAGAGCTTTAATGGCTGTGCTAATTTAGAGTTTTTTCTATAATTCAATAAACTTGTTTATTTAAAATGATGTCATAGGTGTTTGTATTATCCAACTACTCGCGTGGTTAAAGTGAACTTTCTAGGTAAAGTTTCACTTTAAAAGCTAGCATAAACCAAAGGTTACGAACTGGTGACCTGCAGGCCGGGTTTGGATTATAGATGTGTTTTATTTGGCCTAAGTAAAAGATGTGGTCCACATAGTATTTTTAATTGTTTTGAGTTTATTAGCAGTATTTTAAAGCAGTGAGGTCTTGTATAAACACCCAGATTTCTGGCTTCTAAAAAGTAATCAGATCGTCTGTCAAGAGCAGAATCAAATCACCTATAACAACTACAGATTCATGGACAGATGTTAGGACATATGTGGTTGGCTGGATCCCAAACATCCATCCCCCTTCCCTTCTTTGCTTTAAAGACTTTGATTTTATCCAGCTGTACATTTTCAGCGAAGATGGGCCTAACTCCATATCCATTACACTAATCTAATCGTAACAATCTCATTTTCCCCATCAGTGATTTATAAGTGAATGGGGTAATTCCCCATTTTCTCCCTGTGGGATGAGGGATGAGGTGATGTTGGGAAATTTCTGAGAAGTATTTCCTCATTCATCATTTCTTGTGGATGTTAGCATCTGGTGCTGCTACAGCTGCTCTGTGATCTGAAGACAGGGATAATGTGTTGGACACGACAGAAGAGAAAGATAAACAGAATCTAGCTTAGTCTTCCAAACGATGCTATTGAACTGGTAGATTACTAACTGTTGGACATGGCCAACATTTTTTTGGGACTTCTTGTACAGTCAATAAATTTTCCCTGTTTTCCAAACCACGCTGAGTTGCATTTTCTCTCACTTGTAGTTGCTGTCTCTGTAATGAACTAAATAGCTTTTCCATTAAGAGGGCATGTTTTCCCATTATCACAATCACTATCTGACATTATACTCACACTGTTGCATCCATCACAATCAACACCTGCCCCCTACAGGCTTTTCACTTTGGAGGAACTTAGCCCACAATAAGTCCATTTACCTTGCAGGATAGGGATGTAGTCAAATTCACTCTGCATCTCCAGTGAAGCTGGAAATCTAGAGTGCCTGTGTCAAGTAACTCTCGTTGGAGTCTTTCTTTCCATGCAAGAGTGTCCAAAGTATAGCTGACTGCAGTATAAAGCTTAGAACACCTTATTCTGGCTTAGAAATAAAGTCCTATTTCCTAGGCTTTAATCTACAGCAACCTTTGAATCCTTGCTGGGACGTTGTTTGCTTTTTTGTCTCTTCTTTGTGTTAATAAGTTTTCCCAACCATCAATTTACTTTGTCCTTTTTAAAAATTACATTTGCTTATTTTTATGTATTTATTAATTTAATGTGTGTGTGTGTGTGTGTGTGTGTGTGTGTGTGTGTGTGTAGGTCAGAAGATGACTGCAAGAGTTGGTCATCTCCCTCCACCATGTAGGTCCTGGGAATTGAACTTAGGTCTTCAAACTTGGTAGAAAGAAGTACCTTTGCTCACTGAGCTACCTCATTGTCTCCATGTATATACATGATTAGTGTGTGTGTGTGTATGTGTGCAACAGTATGCATGTGGAGGTCAGAAGACATCTTAGTAGAGTTAGTTCTCTCTATCTACCTTGACATGGGCTCCAAGGATTGAAAAGTCACCAGGCTTGCACTGCAAGCATCTCTACCTGCTGAACCATCTCATCAACCTTCACTTTATCCTTTTAATACTGATAAAGTAAAAAAAAATCCTGAATTTAGGACTTTTAGAGTAGCCACTTTGCATGCCTGGGGCTAGAAATAAATTGTATACTCACAGGGAGTGGCATTTGAACATACTTAAGGTTTCCTAAACGATGTCACTGACACAGAGGCGTCCCAGGTCTTCTGAAGGACATTCTGAGCACAAGAGCAAGGAAGCCATTCTCTGCTCACAAGTTTGTTCTCCAAAGCCACCATTTGAGGCCGTCTGCAAGTACAAAGGGATTTAAACAGGTGACCTGATTTGTGAACAAACGCTCCCAGAAAAATTTTCATCTTCAAGCTGAACCTTCTGCAAGGCTGATCTACTGATTAGAACTTCAGTGACTGTGGAAAATTCAGAATGTTGCAGGTCCAGAGCCTAACTACAATTCATCTTGGGCTATCATTAGCCCTTTAAATAACCATTCCTTGCCAGTCTCTGTGTCTGATCTAACATCTTGTTAGTAACAGATAAAAAGCTTTTGGAATGTATTAACTCAACCAGACCCTGGCTTCCACTAGTCCAAGCGCTAAGGATGCTAAGGATGCATGTAAGGCTTACTGAGAGTTCTCCTCACTTTGCTATAACCCACCTCTCTGTTGTCTCCACCAATGTGTTTGAAATGTGTCTTGATTTATGGCTCTCTTTGTTCTGTGCCAACCATAAAGTCAAAGGATGCTTCTAGAAGGGATGTCTTTCAAACTGAATACTAGCAAAGATTGATGTTACAGGGAAATTAGTGTCAAATGTCATCTGGGAGGGACTAGAATTGGAGTGCCAGGACACATATTATCTCAACCCTAGAGGTTAGTGTGGGAAGTGAACTCCATGGGTAGTACCTCATTTTTCTTCCAGGGAATAAGTTTCCATGTGGCCAGTCAGGTGGTTGCCAGGGGAACATATCACCAGTTCAGTTATAGCTTATGTCACAAGAGCAAGACCCAAATGGGGTTAGTGCTACCAAAATACAGTTCATTAAAAAGCACAAAATTCACGAGAACTATAATATTGAAAATATGCATCACCACAGTGGCTATTTTCCTTCTTGATATCTGCCTCTTTTAATACTCTCCTATGCCCGAATGAGACTCATTGAAAGTCTGGTTGGAGATGTAGCTACCTTACTATTGTGGTATCTTAAAATAGTCCACGTGTTCCTCCCAGCCTCCTTTGCATTGATGGAGCTGTACTGAGAATCTATTCTCCAGACACACTCTCCTAGAGATTGACTCAGGAGTGTGTAAAATAATGCAGGAAACACAGAAATGTCTCTGGTGATGGAGAAAAGGGTGGTAAGATAGAGTTCTTCAGGAAGTCGTGACTGTAGGGCCAGAGGCTAGCTCAACTTCAGTTTACTCAGTCAGCAATAGAAGCTGAGTGACAGAGGCAGAGGCAAGATAGGGTCACTGTTTTAGTTACTATATATGAGATGAACTAGAATTCTCCAATGCAAAGCCACCAGGACTGGTTCTGCACAGTCTCGGTTCCTCTACCTAAAGTTCACTTTCCACCAAATGTGGTAAAAAACATACAGTTGCATAGAACACAGTCCCACGGCATGACCTGCATTGACAGCACTGTGCAGCCAGAACCATTACTAATTCCCAGTACTTGGGGTTTTGCTTGGTGTACTGCTTTCCAGCTTCATCTGTGCTGTAGCGTTTGTTTGGACCACATCATTTGTTATGGTTGCTCAACCTAATTCCTCTCAGTATATTTATCGCCAGCTTGAGTCTGCTGGAGTCTTCCTAGACCTCTTGCGTGTTGACATCGCTTATCTCTCAGCTCACTTTCTGGCCACCTGTGCTTTTCTGCTTTTCATTTCCACTGTGCTTCTTTGGTGGCAAACTTACTTTTAAGCTAATGATTTTACACACTATTCCTAGTATTTTACAACTGCATTTTCAGTCTGAGTTTCTGTTAACCTCTTATTAAGAGGTATGTCCAAAGTTGCTTCAGTAGCAACAGACCAAGCATCTGTTGTCAGTTCTATGTTGACATCTTAGATCTGCAACCTTCATGAGAAAATGACAATTTAAGGAAGTTCAGAAATTCATCTAAGTGAAAAATAGTGATGAAAATATGCTATGCATTTGTCTACTCTTGATGTCCCAATAACTTTTGAGAACAGCGTGTCAGTCGCTGACCTACAGAGTTGGGATAGTTCTCTTAAAGAATGCATCAATTCCCAGACTAAGTGTTATAACTTAGCAGAGGACATTTTTTCCCTTTTAAGGCAATGTAAATCACTACATTGACCTTCTAAATTCTTCTGTTATGGTAACTTGCTGAGACATGTATGTCTTTTGTCACCATGGGGCCACACGATCCAGTTTCAGGCAAAACTCTAATATTTCATGCTATTAGCAAGACTGGGCAGATCCACTCAAAAGCTGAAGTCTCAAATGGGTAAAAGGAGGGAGCTCAGAGAAAATGTGATATAAAGATGATGAGGAGAAATAAGACACAGAAAAAGAAAATGCTCATGTGGGAGGGCATACCACACAAGAAGGAACCAGGAATACCCTCCTTATACTGACAATTGCTAACTTTTATCCTGTTGAAAGTGACAAATTCTTTGAGCGTCTTCAGATTTAGTCATCTATAAAATGAGATAGAAATCATAGCTTCACAAAGACAAAGAGAGTTCTATAATTTGAAAGTTGAATGTTCTCAAAGATCTATATGATAAAGGCTCAGTCTATTGGGAAGTGGTAGCATCTTTAGGAGATGGGACCTCAAAGGAAGCATTCAAGCCATTGGTAGTTTTGTGGAAGGGCA